ACATTGGAAAGAGGGCATGTGTTCATTGGGGAAGCCGGACAGCATGCTGGAAGGGGCTTTAGACTGGGAGCAGGTCATGTTTCATCTGCCCCTTGTTCAAGATCAACCTTGGCAGCAGGCCTTTGCTTCCCCCAGCTCCTACCTGCGTCCTGGGAGATGCAGGATCCAGAGGGCATCTTTCCAGCTCCTGGCATCTCACTTCCAATAACCTCCTCCACCCACCTCGTGTACCGTCTTCCGTGGCCACGTCCACGGACATTCATCACCTGCAACTGCTCCACCTTGAAATCTGTTCAGACAGCTTTTGGGCACAAGCTCTGGGTCTGCAGAGTTCTCTCCAGCTGGCTGGTGTGACTGGCCCCGCTCTGACCTCTGGACCTCAGCAGGACCTCTGTTCCCCCAGGCCTGTGCGTGCTCGTTTCCTTCTCTTTGTTTAGCTTGGAGCCCACAGTCCATCAAATCAAGCTGTTTCTTGCTAATACCTACTTTCAATTTTGTTTGACCTTAACTCACAGGAAGAAATATAATTTACACATGACCCAGGACATGTGCATATGTATTTATACACACACACACACACACACACATACATACGTGCATAAACCTTTCCCAAACCCAACCCAGTCATAACTATTTAAAAATCTCTCCCTGGGCATCAGTTCTTATGACCATAGCTTTATTTCTCTCCTCATCTTCACCAAGTGGTTGAAAGGGCCATCTGTGTAAACTGCTGGTTTCTTACGGCTGCTGTAACAAATTACCCCACACTTAGTGGCTTGGAACAGCACAGGCTTATTCTCGTACAGTTCTGGAGGTCAGAAGTCTAAAATCAAGGTGTTGGCAGGGCTGCATTCCTTCTGGAGGCTTCAGGGCACAGTCTGTTTCCTTGCCTTTTCCAGTTTCTAGAAACCAGCTACGTTTTTGGCTCATGGCTGCACCGTGCCAGCCTCTGGTTCTGTTGCCACATCTCCTTTTTCTGACTTTGACCTTCTCGCCTCCCTCTTATAAGGACCTTTGTCTTTATGTTGGTCCCTCCTAGATCATCCAGGATCATCTCGCCATCTCAAGATCTTAATCATAACTGCAAAGTCCCATTTACAATGTAAAGCCACATATTCACAGGTTCTGGGGCTTGGTACCTGTGGACATTTTAGGGGTGGAGCATTATTCTGTCTGTCACGTGAACCATCTTCAATTTCCTTAACTTCCACTCATTTTTCAACCTTTTCTAAAGAAGCTTCTGTTTCCCGCTCACCGCCCCAAATGCCTCTCTAAATGGTCCTTGATGGTCTCCGTGGTGCTGAAAGCAGCAGGAAGTTCTGATTGTCTTTCCTGACCTCTTAGCATCTTGCGACCGATCAGAACGGGGTACAGGAAGGCACCTGTGAGGGCTGACAGCCCGTCCTCATGAGCGTTTCCTGCTGTCAATGTAGAGGAGGGTCTAGTGTGGATGGGGTCGGCTGCAGAAGACAGTGATCCATGACTCCCCTTCCCTCATAAATCAGCCACAGACTCCATAGTGTCTAGACTTTCTTTATTAGTATAAAGTTTTGGCCACATAACTGCAGATACAGGTTGGTTTTTTAAAAACACTTTTGTTGTGGTGTAATCCTGGTACAGTAAACTATGCATATTTCATATGTACGATTTGATGACTTTTGATAGATGTGTGCACCCATGAAACCACCACCAGAATCAAGATAGCTCACATTCCCATCACTCCCCAAGAGGTGCAAATTTCAAATTCCCAATTTATCCCTTCCCGCCCCCTATAGGTAAAGGTTTTTTTAAACAAACATTTTAAAGTATCTACCAACACCAAAGTGCATAGATCCTAAGTGTGTAGCTGGGTGAACTTTCACAAAATAAAACATGCATCCACCCTTCCGGTTAAGAAGCAGAACTTTGCCAGTCCACGTGAACTCCCCCTCAAACCCCTCCCCTGTCACTAACCGCTGTCCTCCCCAAAGCAGTGCTATCCTGGGAAGGCATGGGTGGTCTTTAAACTTTTTCTTTTTTAGATAGACTTTCTTTGCAAAATTGAGAGAAAGTTCAGAAATTTCCCGTATACCCCTGTCCCCACACATGCACAGCCTCCCCCACTGTCAACACCACAGTGAACCCGCTTTGACGCCTGATTCTCACAGAGTCCATAGTCTCCACTGGGATTCGTCCTTTGTCTGGTACATTCCGCGGGTGTTGACAAATGCGTAATGACACGCATCCCCCATTGGAGTATCACACAGGATGGAGTGTCACACAAATCCTCTGTGCTCCACCTCTTCGTCCCTCTCTCCCCCAAACCTCTGGCAACCACGAATGTCTTTACATGTCTCCATGGTTTTGCCTTTTCCAGAACGTCATACAGTTGGGATCACGCAGTACGGACGCTTTTCATGCTGGTTTCTTTCACTTAGTAATGCTGTGTGTTTACATGTCTTCCGTGTCTGCTGTGGCTTCATAGCTCACTTCATTTTAGTGCCGAATAATATTCCGTTGTTGGACCTAGGCATAGGTTTTCAAAGAAAGAAGTGGACTGAGTCTGGAGCAGGTTTTACTGCTACAGTGCCTTCTTTGTCCTTGTGCAGTGTTAAGGCTGGTATCCTGGGAGGGAGGCTCCCCTCTCGCCTCAAAGTACAGAAGGGCTCGAAAGACCTCGAGTCTGTCAATTCCGTGCAGTGAGTTTCTGCCTCCCAAAGATCACTCTCACAAGACGAATGTGGTACACAGCAGGGCTCGGGCCACTGTACTGTACTCGTGTTGTGTTCTGATGTAAATGGTCCCACAGAGCTCAAGTTCGTTTACTGGGGATGGAGGACAGACCACATGACAGATGGAGGAAAGAAAGGTGATGGCCCGAACACAGAGGAAGTTTCTCATTCTTGTAACAGTCTGTGGAACAGGCAGCAATTCCCTCCGTGAATCCGGGACCCAGCCCCCTTCCATCTTGTGGCTCTACGAGCCCCAGGGCCTTATCATTACCTTCATTTAGCCAGAGTAACACATGGTCTTGTGGACGAACCATAAACATGAAGCTGAAGTCACGGTCCCATAACTAATTTAACATTTCAGTCAGCTGATCATCCTTTATGGTCCTGGTGAGTGATGGGGTGATGGACAAGAAAGTTTTAATGACGAAGATGAAAAGACTCAAGAAAGGGGGTACCAGCCAGGGGAGTTTCCACGTGGGTACCGGCTGGGGGGCAGCATCAGGGCCACCCTGAGTTCCCTGGTTTGGCTCATAACAGGATGCTGAAATCCCACAAAGGAGGCTGCAACTCTCACAAATAGTGGCTTTATCGGGACCTACCTGTGTGTCCTGCAGGAGGACGCTGACCTGGGCCCCCAGAGGGTCTCTGCCTGACCTTTCTCGGTGGGGTTCACCGTATGAATGACGACATTCCAGCAAGTAGGACCCTGACTCCCTTGCCTGCTGCCTGAGGGCAGTTCTGCTGCTCCAGTTAGACTCTGCTTCTCGAAGTGAAGTTGAATCAGGGTAGCTGATTTCTTGGCCATTCTTATGATGGTTTTTAAGGGCAAGAAAAAAAAAACAAGTTGCAGTGAGAGACCTAAGGTCTGGATGAAGTGTGCTGGGCGGGTGCCCAGTCTCCATCTTCAGATGGGCGAGTGTGGATGGGCACGGCTGCCCACCTACAGCAAAGCATCTCAGTGCCTTTTCTCTGACCATCAGGGATGCCCGGGGAGCTGGACGGGGTGCCTTTGGTGGAGCATTGCAGTCCAGAGGATTTTGAAACCTAAGCAGGAATAGCTCGAGCACAGCCCATCTGTGTAGGAACTGGGGAGCCGTGACACGGCCTTCCTCCACACCCACTCCTCCCGCTCGGAGGCCGAGGGCTGCCAAGCCCGTCTCCCACACACCTCACCAGAAAGTCCCTGGCTCCCCTCCCAGCCGCCTTGCACTTGACCTCGTGAGGTGTGAGAAGGAGGAAAGGAATCTACATTTCAGATGAACCTTCCTTCCTCCTTTCTGAGCCACGGTCCGGGCCGCCGGCGCCTGCCAGGCCATCTGCGTAGCACATCAGAACTCAGGGCCCGCTCGGCTGCCCCCGCCCGCTGGAGCTGCAGGGATCGGGGGCCTGTGTGAGTTTGCGGGGGCTGCAGGAACAAATGCCCACCAGCTTGGGTGACTGAAAACAACAGTAATGTCCTCTCTCACGGTTCTGGAGGCCAGAAGTTAGAGATCAAGGTGTCGCCAGGGCCACGCTGTCTCGGAAGTTCTAAGGAAGAATCTTTCCTTGCCTCTTCCAGCATTTGGTGGCTCCTGGCAGTCCATGGTGTCCTGGCTTGTCGGGACATCGCTCTGGTCTTTAAGAGGCAGTCTCCCTCTGTGTCTCTTCTTATCAAGACTCCTGTCATCAAGGATTAAGGGCCTGTCTTACTCCAGTGTGACTTCATCTTAGCTAATTACATCTGCGATGACCCTATTTCCGGATACGATCACATCCCGAGGTTCCAAGTGAACGTGAATTTGGGGGAGACACTGTTCGACCCATAACAAAGCCCTGCCATCCACCCCTTGCCCTCCTTTCATTCTGTGCAAGGTGCCTGCAGGATTGAGGGCAGCGCCAGGAGTGGTTTCCTAAGATAAAATGTCACCCCCTCTCTCCAGGGAGGCCTAGTCTAGCTAGTGGGAGATGAGAGAACTCCGTCTCCCTCAGGACAGGCATCCACATGCCCCGGGGACACCCACTCGCAATTTTTTCCTGCTTTATAGAGACACTTTGGGACTTCTTGGCCCCTGACCAGTCCCTTAGTGCTTCCTGGAAGGAAAGATCTCTCGGAGCCTTGCAGCGGGCCATCCCAGACTGAGGTTTCCAGCCCAGACGTGAAGACTGGCACCTGCTCCCTCTGCCCCAGCTCCGGGCCTGGCTGGTGTCCTCTCTGGGGAGCAGCAGAGGAAGCTCCGATCCACACCTTCCTCACTGACCAGCCCCTTCCCTGGGGGGAGCCGAGGGCCTCCTGCTCTGAAACCCCTGAAGGAACAGAGCGATCCCGGGCCTCTTGTAACCTGGCTGAATATTTTCCAGGTTACCTAACCAAGCTCCTGCAAAACCACACTGCCTATGCCTGCGACGGGGACCACTTGAAGCTTCAGTGCCCTCGGCATTCTACGATAAGTGTCCAGTCGGCATTTTACGGGCAAGATTACCAAACGTGTAGCACACAGCCACCTGCCTCCCAGCGGGAAGACAGCTTAACCTGTGTGGCGCCCACCACGCTGCAGGTATTGCCTTCTGTAGCTGTTTCAAGATGACAAAA